AAGATCCAATAGCCTGTGACTGAGCCGATAGGCGTGAACACCATGATCGCCAGCCCCTCGGGCGCCTTTGCGGGCGTTGGCTTTGCCATCCCATCGGACACGGTCGCGCGTATTGTTCAGCAGCCTGGCAAAGATCAGGCCGCTGGAAGCATGGGGATACATGGGTGTGTCCTTTGTTAAAGGTTGGACCACCCCCCAAAGAAAGAGAGATGGTTTTCCCTTTTAGCTTCCTTTTGACACCAACCCAAAAAGGGTACCCTCAAAGAAAGACAGACCCACACGGGGACTCGGGGGAATCATCGGTATTGACGTATCTGCCCGCTTTGAGCGAGTCTCTCCCGTGACAAGCCAAGGCAGATCATCAAGTACGGCCACGCCAAGCACGCCTACATGGGCTTGGTCCTGGCGCCGGACCAATGGACGCACAACATGTCGAGCTTGACTGAACGCCAGGGCCTGGGCAAGATCGAGGGCGTGCTGGCGCCCGGGTTGGCACGTAGTTTGGGGAATTGAACCAGGCTGGGTGATTGAACATGTGGATTAGAGATATGGGTGTGGCTCGAAATTAAACAGGAGGGGCAAACCGCAGGTTTGGGTCCATGTTTCCACTTATCAGGTTCCAGTTTAGTACCGGTTTTTTGGAGCCGCAGCCATATATTTGAGGATGCTTTCTCCAGGGCCCACGTGACATCGTGGATTGGACAGCTAGGTCCGGTTTGTTTGCAAGAATGAGGATGTCTCGAATGATAGAGTCCCTGTCTTCGAATGGCTTGAAGGGGAAAATCAAGAGGAACCAACCACCAGGAGGGGTCCTTGAATTTGAGAGATGCCAGACAAGCCTCGGTTTTTGTTGCTCCACGTCCCTTCCAAATGAACCATAGACCAGTAGTTTCAACCGAACCTATGCAGGATTGCCTTCCGTTGATACCTCAATCAGGGTCCCTAAGCGATCCTAAGCGGGTTCTAATAAACCGAGCTCGCACCAAAGGACAATCCGAAAGGAACCGATTTGGCTGTTGGTCAAACATTGGTTCCCAAAATGGAACCCTAGAACATCGGTACCCAAAATGGACCCCTAGTAACTGGAAACACGGACGTCTCAACCTGCGCTCCAATTTTTCTGGTTGCATATTTGACCCCTAGCCCCTCCCATCTATGTCACCGCCCGAGGTGCTGAAGATCGAGCCCGGCAGCCCGGCGGATGCCGCGGGGCTGCTGCCCACCTACCGCGCGGCCAGGGGCATCATCATCGGGGACGAGCTGCTGGCGATCGAAGGCCATCAGGCGAGCGGCCGCGGCGAGAGGGGTCTGGTTGCGGAGGTACCCATGGGGTTTAGGGTTTGGGGTTTGCAGATGTTGGGTTTAGGGCTTAGGGGCTTCTGGTTGCGATCAATTGAAATGAGAAGAGCTATTTGGCGACTGGGCCCAAGTGCTGGCATATTTGAATACAGTGCTCGAAGGCACCAAAGCGCTGCAAGAAGGGGTCTTCTACCAAGAATCCCGCGGCAGCTGTTCGTGGAATGGGCACTTTACCCAAGGTTGGTTTGTGCTGCTTCTCACTCGGATATGTCAAATCATGGACTTTTCTGGAAATGAACCCATTTGCTTAAAGGACACAAGGAATGGTTCAGTTTGTACTGAGCAACCCGCAAGTTGCTGTTTGCAACTGGCGGAGCCAGATGCGGCCAATGCCCTTTGCCCAGGTAAAGAGCATGGATGATCTCATGGAACTGGTGGATGAGACGCTTGACACGTCATGCGTTTTTTTTGGGCGCACATTTTTAGGTAGGTTGCTTTAAATTACTGCAGGGAAGCTCAAGGGAGCGCCCCCGATGTAGAGCCCCTATTCATTCTGACACACCCATATTGCTTTTGCGTGAGCACGTATGTGTGGAACTTGCAGCTTATCGGCAGTGTTATCCACTCCGGGGAGGACATTGAGGTACTTTCCGAATTCCCCTCAAGAAGAGGGCCCATCCCGATTTGGGAACATCGCACTATTCTCCTTTGGCGCCCATTTCCATTTTGGAGCACTGGCACAGACTGGCACGCTTTGCCCGCTGCCTTGATGGGTGGCAGTTGGTCTCTTTGAGTGGCTCGGGGCAAGGGACCTTGTCTTTCAACTTCCCAGGTGTCGCCAATCCATGAGGAACCTACTATCCTTGCATTCTGGATGACTGGCTGTTTGACAGCTCACTGTTCCCAAGTGCCACCGGCCGGATTGTCAATCATATACATGGCATGTTGCCTGATGAGACCGCAGATTGGCCAGGCTTGTTCCCTTTTCTTACCGGCCCCATGCCATTGCAGCAATCCCCGAGCGCTTTCCCGTGTCCTGAGGAAGCAGATTGGCGAAACCGTTGAGGAGCCTCGGCTGGAGTTCGCTTTCACCCGGAGACGAAGTTTGTTGTTTGCAGTATGGAGCCGAACAGTCAAAGAAGCATTAGGTTTGACGTGTGGAGATTTGTTTTAATTAGGGACTCCTTAGTGGACGGCATTTAGTTGGGATTGATGTCCACCACCAAACTAAGGCCTATTGAAATTCATAGACAGGTATCTTCATCCAGAGAAGGAACCTTTGACATTTAGTTTGTTAATCTTGGATGGCCGCCGGTGTCTTTCGACGCACCATCAACACACTGTACTGAGCCTCGAGCTGCAATGCGGGCTTGCATGATTGGCTTTCTTACAACTTGTGGCGATGCCCCAGACAATTTAAGGCAACTTTCGATGGGCCCCAGAAGAAGAGGGAGCGTATTGAAAGTATCCCCCCCCCCCCAGCGGAGGAGGACCCACTGGCCCACAGATGATCTTCGTTTTTTTTTTTTTTTTAAGGAATGCGTGCCACCTGTTGGATTGTTTGCAATGAACACTCAAAGGAAGTCGCAAGTTTGCAAACATCTAAACATTGCACTTGTTTTTGTTTGGCATCTTGCACCTCAGCTATCTCCTTGTTTGTTCAACCCCTTCTTGCACAACCTATTACTACTATTCACAAACCACATCCAGCAAGCGGAAGCACCAGTTGGGGTTTGGTGGCTTATCGTGTGTTTGGGGTTCATCCATCTCTGGTGGCTGCGGCTCAAAAAAGTGGCACCAAAATGGCACCTTGGTGAATTGAACCAAAGACTAAAACCCGCGTAACTCCAGCTCTTTAATTTTGAGCCATACCCCTGTGTCTGGGGTGGATTGGTTTCTCTAAGGGTTGATTCCCCATTCTTTTTAACCATTGTTCTTTCCAAAAACCGGATCCGTTTCCCTGGGTTTCCGGAGGTTTTCTAGAAAGATTCGGCTCCCTGGGTTTAGAATGGGGCCAGCCAGAAAAAGAATGGGGCCAGGCAGACAAAAAATGAGCCATAGCCACGTAGATTCCTGCGCATGTAGATGGGCTGCCCGTGTGTCTTTTAGGGTCCACCAAAAAACAACACACCAATGGATGACCCCCAAACACACGATAAGCCAGCAAACCCCAAACCAATCCACCCCAAACGCCAGGTGGCCCCAAGCAGCCCCAAGCCAGGTGACCTTCCGCCGCCGCGCGGAGCGGGACGAGGTGCTGAAGACGCGGCTGCGGCTGGGGGAGCGGCCCAGGTCCCCGGTGGCCCCGGTGTCCATGCAGTCCCCACAAGCCGGGCTGCCGGTGGCCAAGCTGTAGACAGGACCCACGGCAGCTTTGGAAGCAGACAGGTGTCAACTTTTTTTTTTTGTTGGTTTTTAGTGTTTTTGGTGGTTTTTAGTGTTTTTCGTGTTTTTTTGTGTTTTTGGTGGTTTTTGGTGTTTTTGGTGGAAAAATAGAGGGCGATTCCTGGTTGACCTGGTGGTTGCAGATCATCTACCAGGGAAACCCAGAGCCATTTCCTAAAGGACACCTAGGTTGGAAGGACATGAAAGGCGGCGGGTGTCAAAATGCGGTGTTCCAGCAGTCTCCCTTTGACCTGAAAGGGTGCCATCCGTACAAAGGATCATTCTGTTTCTAGATGTAGATTTGCGCATGTCTCGGCGAGACGGCGGACCAGCTTTCTTGGCCGGACCCTGCCAACAGCTAGGCTTGGCGTGGTGTACAGAGGGTGTGGCAGAGCTGGCGCATGCGCCATGTTTTATTGGGATGCCGACCAAGTTGGCTTAACCCGGGTAGATGACGATTAGTACGCGATAGTCCCAACCATAAATGGGTGCGGCCGTCTTTTTCATTGGGATTGGGTAGACCATGCTCGGGAAAACTTGCCAACCATGTGGCCCGCGAGCAGAAGCACTTGGTGCCATATTGGAAATACCACGCGTTTAGAGAAATCATGGCTGGGCTTAAGAGTTTTCCACGAATTTCCCAGCATTGTCCTCTTTCTTGCTGCAGTCTGTGGTACGACCCAGCGCAGGCAATGGCAAAGCATTGTGCAGATAAGAGGAAGTCTTGAAACTATGAGGGTCTGCCCAACTCTGCCACACGCTGTGCTTGGAGAACTTTCAGGCCGCGACTTTTGCCTTAGGGCATCTTAGTATTCTGGCAGCTTGAGGGTGTGGGGTGTGGAGCCAAGACAAGCCAAAGACATCCGAATTGTGAGTCCTTACTGTTCCCAATTGTGTGTGTGTGTACATGGTGCATGCTTCTTGACCCTCGATCCTCAAATCTGCTTGCGTGCAGTGTACAGCTCATCTCGCGCGCTATGCGCAGTCAGACCGTTGACTTGCAGCTGCGGAGATGCATTGCTGCCGAGAGACTCTTGGCCCTCATCAAAATTTGAAGGCTTTCACCGATCCAGGCTCGAACCATTGCTTGGATGCAACCATGGCTTGGACGCGAGGTGACTTTTGTGTGGGATGACAACTGAGGCAACTTTTGTCGCAATGCTGAAGTCTGAATGTTGCATTCCAACTCCGGATCCTCTGCTTGCGATCCCTGATTTCAGAATAGCAAGGCAGAAGAAGTTGTCAGAGCCAGAGACCTAGTATTTCATTCATATTGCATGGGTAGGTGCAGTGGAGACGTTTGCAAGCACTGCCAGGCAGCGTCTCCGCAAGAGAGCAGTCCTCGGGTGCCGCAAGAGAGGAGCCCTCGCCTGCCCAAACGCAGGCGAGGTGTTTGGCCGAAGCTTTGCATTTGTTCATACCTTTCTGAGCTTGCACATGGAAGCGCCGGGAAGCCTTTTGTCCTAGACTGATTCAGCGCCATGGCAAGTGGAGCCACTGTTAAGCCTAAGGGTAGGGCAGTGGGGAAGATTGGAATCCAAGACATCAATTCGGGTTCTTGAAGGGAGCACTTGGGGTTTTATGCATTTTTGGCCTGAGAGCTGGAAGGTAGAGTTACAGGTACAGGAGCTCTTCTATTCCAATGCCCTTGGATCCGAGGATTTGTATTTAAGGACGGCCAGAGAGTCTATGCGTCTAGCACCAACTGCATTCCTAATCGGGTTGAATGCTGCGACAGCGGTTGCCACTTCTGCAGGCCCAGCGCTGCTAACCCAGCGGCCTCACAGAAGCTTGAATGCATTCTGTGCGGCCGGCGAAAGGACTTGCAACCTGTGCACACGTCAATCATGAATCACTGTTTTGCCAGCAACTCGACTCACGACCTGTGCTTGCCATGCTTTGAGTGCGCACCACTCAAGCACCACAGAAGCTTGGAAGGCCTGAAGCCCTCCACCCAAAACAAGTCGGGGATCAGTTTGCGGTCCCCGACGCCAAGCACACACCTTCACCGTGTCTCAGATTCAGGCTTGCCTTTTTTTTCTCACCTGAAGCGAGGCAGATCAATGAATCAAATATCCCAAGCTGTGGGTCAAAACCAATGGTACCATTTTGGGGTAGGTGCACCACCCATTTTAGTCTATTTTAGTGGTTGGATTGGGATGTCCACTGCGGGGTACTGGATTTTGACCCATGGCCACATGAGTCGTTTGGCAGGGGATACCCCCGTTGTTTTGACGCACCCAGATCCCGACCTCGACTTTTTTGCACTGAGGCCTCGGAAGAGCGAGGCGGGGTGGGGGGCGGGGGGGGGGGGGTGAAGCTGCCGGCAGGCTGGTCACTGACTGGTCATGGTCAGCCCAGGCAAGCAGGGTTCCGTTTTTTGACAACGGACTGAAACCCAGGGGTGGGAGATTTCCCCAAAACGGTGGCAGGAGAAGGTTGCGGTGGTAATGGTGATAGCGGACAAACTCATGCACACGAGCTTGCTTATGCAGATCAATCCGGGAAGCCTGTCAATTCAGAGGCACCAGCGCGGAAAAATGTGCCAATCTGAACATGGGGTTTGTTCTTTCAAGCACACCTTGTCTGTGTTGGTTTTAACGGGAAGTTAAAAAAGGACAACCAGCAGTTTGGGGCTCCCTCACGGAGGAAATTTAGCCATCTCTAGGTGCGAGTCTCAATGTTCAGGTACCTTTGTACTTTTGAAGCTAAAATCAGCACCCGGTTGATGAAACGTCCGCTGCTGTTTTTTTGCGGCTCTAGCACACCTTGCTGGTACTGAGAAGGGAATGACCCAGGGTTTTGGGGAATGAACCTAGGGATTCCCTGAGAGGAAATCAAATAGGTCAAAACTGAACCAGGGACCGATTCATCCCTATTTTTGGTAGCCCATAGCTAACGCATTCCCTTCATATGTGTCCTTTTTTGTTGATTTGGTTGAAAAATAGAGGGCGATTCCTGGTTTACCTGGTGGTTCCATCAACTCCCAGGACCATCTATTTTCCCAAGAGGACACCCATGTTTCCCTGGCTTTCGCTTCCGCAAGCCACGCCCGGGCGCAGCCGCACGGCTGGGCGTCGGAGAGTTTTCAGGTGGAGTTTGGCAGCTCGGAGTGGGCCACGCGGGCGCTGGAGGGGGAGCAGATGCTGCTGCCGGAGCCGCAGCTGCCGCCCCTTGAGGCAAGGGCACCCACCGTGGAGCTGGCGGGTAACACATACCAAGAATTACTCACATTGAGCCGAAATGGCTGTGAGAACATATGTGCCCAAAAATGGGTTGCCCTGCAATCCCCACCCTCCACACGAGCTTACAACCGTTACAACAAATTCCTCCGCATCCTAGAGACTTCGACTCCAAATTTCCAGCGGCCCTTTTGGACATTAAGCAAAACCAGACTGGCGAGCTGCTCTGGCGGGATACTGGCGGGATCCACTGGCAAATGCTGGCGAGCCGCTCCGGCTTGATACTGGCCGGATACTTGGCAGGATCCACCGGCAAGGGGAAACTTGGCGGGCCACTGGCGAGCTACTCTGCCCCCTGAGGATTTCACTTTGTACTTCCAGCTTACCTGGAGTGCCTGGACCACATGACCCTTAAAGTCCGGCCGAGGCTTTTTCGCTGTGAGCCTGTCATCTGCCTGTTCACGAGTGATGCCCCATGGTGTTGGGATTGTTAGGCCCCAGCCTGGCCCATAGGGTTCTCTGCGCCGACTGGGGCACACCAGGCCCCTGGCAAGTTCTGTACTTGTTTTTAGGCCGCAGAACTCTCAGGCAGCGGACGCAAGTGAGCATCGTTTTCGTCCTGTTTGTGGCAGACTTTGCCCAAGCAGACCAGTCAAGATCCACCTCTTTCAAGTCGTGCCCATCCGCGTCATAACGAGGCTTTGCCCTGGCTTCTTCGATCGCGTTAAGACCGAGAGATCTTTTCCCTTCCAGAAGGCGCGGCTGCGCAGCCGGGTCCTTTTTATGCTGCTTGTACCTGGCTTTGTTGGAATCGCCAGCGGCAGTAGACCTGTGTCCACCTGTCCAGCAGGGGGAGCCCCACTGCGCACCAAGCACACGACCAGGCCCGCTGGGCAAGCGGGATCTCTGCAGAAGGGGTCACGATTGGGATCACCTTTCTCCTCCAGCCACATGCGCTTGATAGTCAAGCGCTGGCCGGTCGTATCGCTCAGGCGGGCCGAACAGATGTGTGACCTCCATATCTGTTTCACCAGCATCATCATCTCCCTCATTTACGAGGGGCGTTTTCTTGGCTGCTGGCTGCTTGGACGAGGAAGAAGCGCCCGTGCCAGGCAACCAGCTACCACCAAGAGCCGTGTCTTTCTGAGACAGCTTTCTAGGCTTGCCGGTCGAGGAAGCAGCGCTCGAACATGGCAGCCAACCGTCTCCGAGCCCTACAGTCCCATGCGACTTGTCTTCTTTGGCAGTGGTAGGCGTAGGCGGAAGCCAACCTTGGCCACTACCAACAGATCTAGGCCGCTTAGCCGATGGAGCTTGCTTTTGGCAGCGCCCCTCAGGCTGTTCTGGCTAAGCGCGACAGGGTCAGTAAACCCTACTGCGCACCAAGAGGACCGGATAGCGTCCTCCGTTTTCGGCATCAGGAGCGTGCAGTGCTCATCCTGAAAGGCCAAGACAACGGGTTTCACCTTTCTTAGGCATGGCCCCTACGGCCATAGGCGTCCCCCCTCCCATCCACCTTTTTTACGATGATCACCTGTCCATATAGGGCTGTGGCACCTGGATCCGGAAAGTAGCATATTCCCGTATCCCAGGCGCCTTGGCCTCAGCATCCACCTTATGGAACGTCGGGCGCTTAGAGCCCAACAGCGCACATTGCAACTTGGCCAGATCCTGCACCCCTCCTATGGTGACAGGAAGGGTGACAAGGTTGGCCGCATCACTATCCTGTGTTTTTTCTTTGCGCCAAGGCACGCAAGGGTGGAAACCATGCATAGCTGCCATCTCTCTGGCTTGATCCGCTGCTGAGCGACTGGGGGCCAAGGCAGCCATACCCTTGGGTGCAGTGCCCTCATCTAGGGCCTTCACCTCATTCCATTCTACCACCGAGCCAGGCCAGCAACGTGACAGACTGACCCGTCCAGTGGCTGGCCCTCACCTTGTTTGGCAGGCTTTGGCTGTCGACTTCCCAGAGGTCCCCGGCAGGTTTTTGCAGCTTCCTCGTCTTTCTGCGGTCTTAGGGCGGCTCCAGAAGCTGACCTTGTGAAGCCAAGCTGACCACATTTCTGAGGCGGTCTAAAAGACCTTGTGGGTTTTTGGCTGCACGCTGCGTCAGTCTCTGAAGCGCTCCAAGTAGCACCGCATCCTGTCCTTCCTTCCCAGACGGAACCGAGGAGGAAGCCTTATCAGGTTTACGGCGCTGCTCCGAAGGCAGCTCCTTAGGGGCAGCATCAAACCGCGCAAGCAGTTCCGACAGCCCATCAAGTAGACTGTTTTCCCCCTTTTTCCTGTCCTTGGCCTTGCCGCCTCCACCACCACGCAACTGCAAGTTCAAGCCAACTTCAAGCCTATGGCAACAAGCCGACTGCAAACCACCTGCAAGCTGCACATCACAGTCAGCAACCAACGTGCAACTACTCACGCAAGCGTCACAAGCCGCCGCAACGCGAAGCACGCCAAGCCGCCGACTGCACCTACACAAGCCCGTCAAACCAAGCTCGCGAAGCCAACCAAGCATTTCCACGGCAAGCCAACCGGCCAACAAGAGCCCACCCAAGGCCATCTCTACTAGAGGCGGCAAGCCTGGGTCAGCCCCACCATAGCAAGTTCCAGTCTTGCCTGACAAGCTGCAACCCAACTTCGGATTCCAAGCAAGCCAACCGAGCTCTCAACATAGCTGTACAGAAGCGCAACACACCACGCACAACCTTCCAGCCGTTTTTCCTGCGACACCTTCGATGTCTGGCAGGTCCAGAGCGTCGACGCCCCCACAGTGCTACAGTACAGGAAAGGAGGCCGTCTTTGCTTCCTCAAGAAGCGCATGCATGTGCTTCCCAGCACTTTTTCCCAGTCCATCATCCATACTATGGCTATCAGCCAGCCATATTTCAGCAGCGGATCCCAAACATTGCATAGTTCAACCACAGTTGCAGCAACCAAGTCCAACCCGCCAACCGCCCGGACATTGTCCGCCAGTGACACAGGTGCCTCCACAGCATAGTTACGGTTCTCCTCCATACAGGCCACAGCATACAGGTAGCGAACGCCACCACAATCCAGAGCATCCATTTCCATGGCCCCAAACTTCTCGAAGCCCGACTTGTTTTTCTGACGCACATCTTTGCAGAAGAAGAAGGTTCTTCTGCTTTGTCCTTGCCGCACTTTCGATTACCCACCTCCACTGCGAGGAAGTCGGAGGCGTAGAGGCTCACAGTATCCTTGACATGATCCCGCAACGGGCGTGCCCTCAACATGATAATTACTGTGCAACCCATGCCTGTGCGGTTGATTCTGAACAAGTGCCTGACAGACACTTTGCAATATGGCTGCGAGTCAATTTATAAGGTCCGGAACAGGGTCCGGAACCCACATGCGATCCAGACCTCCGTTCCAGACCTCCGTTCCAGACCTCCGTTCCAGACCTTGCCTAGAAACATGTCCAGACCTTCCGTTCCAGACCTTGTTTATGTATTTATGTCTAGTTTAGAGTATTTACGGTAAGGTGATTTGGTAGGTTATTGACTCCCCCCTTTGTTTTGCCAAATGCTACGCGTTAAGGCTGGTGTTCGAGAGAAGCCTGAGGTGCTAACGATGGGGATTGCTTGTCGAGCTTTGGTGGTTGGGGCTGCGTGGCTTGTAATCATTGGGACTTGGATGGAATTAAGCAGCGGTCCTGTTGACAGATGTGTTTTTGGAACGGCCTGTGAATGTTAAGGGTCAACCCCGCCGCAATCTGTTCGATACGATACGGTAACGGTTCGATACCGCTCTCGGTCGTCACATTGTTGAAACGACCATGTTTACATGCAGCTTGCTACCAAGTGCAAGCCACTCGCGTAACCGTTCCAGACCCCGTTCCAGACCCGTTCCAGACCCGTTCCAGACGTGTTCCAGACACAGCGGAGCAATTGCAGCTGCCAGTCTGCAGCCCAGTCTGAAGTTGGCAGCTGCCAGTCTGCAGCTGCCAGTCTGCAGCTGCCAGCTGGCAGTCTGAAGCTGGCAGCTGCCAGTCTGCAGCTGCCAGGGCAGTCTGAAGCTGGCAGCTGCCAGTCTGCAGCTGCCAGCTGCCAGTCTGAAGTTGGCAGCTGCCAGTCTGCAGCTGCCAGCTGCCAGTCTGCAGCTGCCAGCTGGCAGTCTGAAGTTGCCAGCTGCTAGTTGAAATTTCAGGACGCTCACACACAGGTGTGTTTTAAATCACACACAGGTGTGTTTTAGATTTCAGGATGCTCACACACACGGGTGTTTTTGAAATTTTAGGATGCACACACAGGTGTGTTTGAAATTTCAGGACGCTCACACACAGGTGTGATTGAAATTTCAGGATGCTCACACACAGGTGTGTTTTAAATTTCAGGATGCTCAAACACAGGTGTGTGCGAAAATTCAGGATGCTCACACACAGGTGTGTTTTCAAATTTCAGGATGCTCACACACAGGCGTGATTCAAATTTCAGGATGCTCACACACAGGTGTGCTTTAACTTTCAGGATGCTGACACACAGGTGTGTTTTAACTTTCAGGATGCTCACACACAGGGGTGTTTTAAACTTCAGGATGCTCACACACAGGTGTGTTTTACATTTCAGGATGCTCAATCACAGGTGTGTTTTCAAGTTTCAGGATGCTCAAACACAGGTGTGTGTTAAATTTCAGGATGCTCACACACAGGTGTGTTTGAAATTTCAGGATGCTCACACACAGGTGTGTTTTCAAATTTCAGGATTCTCACACACAGGTCTGACTCAAATTTCAGGATGCTCACACACAGGTGTGATTGAAATTTCAGGATGCCCGCACACAGGTGTGTTTTAAATTTCAGGATGCTCAAACACAGGTGTGTGTTAAATTTCAGGATGCTCACGCACAGGTGTGTTTGAAATTTCAGGATGCTCACACACGGTGTGTTTTCAAATTTCAGGATGCTCACACACAGGTGCGTTTAAAACTTCAGGGTGCTCACACACACACACAAGTGTGGTTGAAATTTCAGGATGCTCACA